GAAAAGTTTTTCTTCATATATATATATATATATATATATATATATATATATATATATATATATATATGGGCAAAGCACGGAGCCCCTAGTTTGAGAATTACTAAGGTAATAAATTTAATTTTTCCTATGCTACCTCTAATGTCTCACCTACGCCACCGTCATCATCATCAGGTTTGTCTCGTGTTATCAATCCCATATTTTCCTTGTTTACATCAATCCAATACCGTATAACCTGCCCCCTTGCTTTTCTCTTATTCTCGGCAAGGTTATCCGCCATGGACGAGAGCATCTTCAATTCGGGCCGGCCATCAGGCCAAGGTCCTGACCGAGGCCCTTCCTCTCCCTCACAAGCGGCAGAAGGTCCCCACCATGGCTACCACGTTCTGGTGTACAGCACGCAACAAGGTAGAAGATGATGCAATTTACAGTTTTGCCACCGAGACGAAATTAGCCACCATTTATATGTTTTAACTCCGATTTAGTTCATTCTTGTTGCGTTAGAATCGTGTCGATGTGAGCTACATGTTAGTGTTGATGTTTATCATATCACATGTTTCTAAATTTTATGATTTAAATCTTATTTTAATTAACATTTATGCCGACACGTTTAAATAAAAGCAACATAGATTATATTATATATACATCGCTCTTTTGCAAATAAGTTTGTAACATGATTAATTGCTAATGTAATCATGGTTCTAAATTATAATTTGTTTAGCTGAACCCACGTCACTTGCAGTTATAGTAGATGCTCTCACATTTTAATTTCTTTTGAAAGCTATAGTTTGAATGGCTAAATAAATATAAGACATATATAGAAATAAGGACTAGATTTAACTCAGTTTCTAATTAAACTGTATAGTGACTAATCTGAACTAAGAACCTTCACATTGTTTTGTTTAATTAAAATAAATCAAGAATGTAGGCTTTTCTTTTATAATATAAAACTTTCGATTAACGATAGCTTCGGTTTCGATGTTTCTTAGTGATCTCGTAGCACTAGCTCCGTTTTAGTACGGGTTTTCTCTTATATGGTGTAATGTTCTTAGTTGCTTTAATTTGTTGCTTGCATGTTTGCCTATGTGCGGTGCTTGCTTCGAGTAGAATGAGAACCGTTTATGAATACTGAAGATTAGAAGGTGATGACTAGAAGAAAAGTATGGGGAAGTTTGAGAAAGTGTAAAAGGCAAGTATAATATGAGGCTCTTTGTTACCTAATAACACAATAATCATCTTTTTATGTGCATGTATACAATATTATGAAATATTAAAGACCTTACCTAGTATACTTTTGTTACCCTATTCCTTGTTACCTACTGGTTTATGCATATGGGTAGTTCTTGCTAGTTTCTTAACTTTAATGAAGAAGATCGATAATATTGGCTAATGGCATATGCAATGATGTTTAAAATATGATTTTTAGCAACATGGAATCATGATGACTTATCTGTCAGCAAAATCTAGGACTTACAATACAACCATGAGTGCTACATGGCTCTGGCTTTGCTTCAGTAGAAGGACCTTTTCTAGCTTGTTTCTGGTTACCCAAAAGGACTTAAAAGGGGCTTGCTGTGTGTATAAGCTGGCCTCTGTCCCTATGTGTATAGCCTACATGGAATGTGCCATTCGGAAGGGGAGCTCTATATTCCCTTGCCAATTAAAAACCTAGCGGCTACTACCTTGTTAGACGATCCTTTGAAAGACATCATAGTAAACCCTGCTGACCTTCCTTGGTGGTGGATCAAGAGGCTGACCACCTCGGGCGAAAGGGTAAATCACGGCTCATGGGTAAAGATGTACAACCTCTGCAGAGTGTCTACAAATTGTTATAACAGCCGTGCTCACGGTCATGAGTGGCTTGGAAAACTCACAAAATTATGGGTTCTTATTATACTATGACGTTGATGCTCATGTTTATTCATTATTGTCTTATTGCTATTACTCATGATCTTGTGGGAATTGATGATTAAGCATAATTTAGGAACTTAGGTTCTTAATGCTAAAACTTAATCTACTAAAATTGCTTACTGCAGTTTAGCCGTGTCAAACCATTTGAGCCTACATCCCCTCATATTATGCATGTTAGGCGGTGGTTTGCTTACGCTTGCTTTACTTTTCAATTACTTTGGAAAAATCCCGGATGGGTACCAGATGATGGAGCTAGACAATTTTTTTAAAGTGCTAGGCGTATGATACCCCCAGTCAGCCATCCCTGTGAAGAATGGAGCCTGTAGATTAGTACCGTTCCGCGATACTCTGATATAAGTGTTAAATATGAGTATATTTCCTCTATATAACATTGTTTCTGATATCCATCCTTTCTGTGGTTGTATGTGTGGACTTCCTGGGCACACATATGATGAATCTGGTTTTGTTTTTAAAACCGGGTGTGACACCCGCTGAGCCCATCCGCACACCGTCACCGGTGCTGCCGCACCCACCACCGCCGGAGAAGAGCCGAGCCCTACGCCGCGCCTTCGCCATCGGATATGGTCACACCACCACCGGATCCGTGCCTCCAGAACCAGATCCGCCGCCGTGGGCTACACCACCAGATCTGGTTTGTGGGGGAGGAGAGGCGTCGGATCTAAGGGAGAGGGGTGCCGCCGCCGCTGCCTGGAGGGTGGAGGAGGGCACCGCCATCGTAGGAGGCCCCCTAGCCCACCGGGGAGGAGAGAGAGGGAGGCGGCACCACCGCCAGGGCTCGGGAGAGGGTGGGGGAGGTGCTGTCACTGCCGGGTCTCAGGAGAGGGAGGGAGTGGCTCCGCCGAGGGGAGAGATGGAGGCGCTACAGCCGCCGTGGCTCGGGAGAGGCGCCACCGAGGGGAGAGAGGGAGGCACCGTTGTCGACGTGGCTCGGGAGAGGGAGGAGCGGTGGGGGAGAGTGTTGCCGTGGAGGGGAGCGGCGGGGGAGAGGGCGCTGTGCGAGCGCGACGCTGGGAGAGAGGAGAGACTGGGAGAATGACTGAAACCCTAACCCCTGCGTTTATATATTGAAGATGGTAGTGGGCAGGTGTGGGCTAGCGGGCTAGGCCTGATTTACCGAGACGGTTGAGTTAGAATGCCCGCCTCGGATAATGATTTACCGAGGTGGTTGCATTAGGATGCCCGTATTAACCGAGGCGGACCCTTTAGGTTGCCTGCCTCGGTTAAGAATTAACCAAGGCGGTTGCTGGGCTGGCTGTCCGACCACCTAATAACGGAGGCGGGCAACCGGCCCGCCCGCCTCTGAGGCCATTTGGCAAACGCCTTTAAAAAGATTTATTATACACGTTGATATTGTTCTTTGTAAATAAGTAAACATACTTGGTCTCGATCAATATATTTTTATAGTGTAAGAGTATGCTGACGTGGAGGAGAGAGGAGAGAGAAGAAACTGACTGTAAACTTACAATGGGCTTAGATATAACAACCACAAAACCTCGTAAGAGAGACAAATAGGCCACATATCAATAGTGAGAATGTAACCACTATATAAGTAGGTAGAGAGGTAGGTTGTAAGTATTCATGCAGCTAGCAGCTGACTGTATTATTAGTTTTGCCATAAGAATACTGGGACGTCAGGCCATCTGACTGAATTAATAGTCGGTCCCCAACAACGAACCACTAATTAGAACCCTCTTTTTATTGCCAGCTACTCCTACATGTGTCTACTATTCATGTCGGCGCGCTCGCTTCAGCTGAAAGCCGGCGGCGGCTGTAGCTGTACCAGTATTAGCTACAGTATTCAGCAGTTCACTTGATGCAGCCGCAGCACTGCTGTATCACAACCGTGTTTAAGCTTGTTCAGAAATTAAAGTTTCATTGAGGCGCGGTGGAGGACCGGCCATGTGGAGGCTAAAGATCGGAGAGGGAGGAGAGGGCCATGGATGCCGACGGTGAGTGACTTCCATGGCCGGCAGGGTTTGGGAGTTCGACCCGAACGCCCGGCACCGACGAGGAGCGCATCTAGGTGGAGCAACTGCTAACTAACGACGGTTCCATAGGCACACCGAGAGGCGTCAGTGACTTGTGTCACTGACAAAGCAAATGCCCATTCTGAGCATGTATATATACATTTACTGTTCATCAGATTAATACATCCATCATTTCCATCCACCACTTTCACTTTCCAATAGTATGTACACAAGTTTTGGTTATATATGGCCGTGCATCTTGTTGGTCCCAATCAATCATTTGACCGAATTATTACAGCAGTTAGCTAGGACCCATCACCCATGCGTGACTAATTAATTTGTGAGCTAGGACCGATCAATTAATTGGTCTCACAATACTCGTAGAAGTAAAGGAGAAGTCAAATTGCTATATACTCCCTCTCTTTATCATGGAATAAATAGATTTCTAGAGTTGTCTTAAGTTAAATTTTTAATACATGGGTAACAAAGACATTCCACACAGGGTGTCTTTCGAGAGTAATACATGGGTAACAAATTACAAGCTGCCCTGGTCACGCAGGGTGTCCTTCGAGAGTAATACATGGGTAACAAAGACATTCCACGCTCCCGCTCCAACTACTCTTCCAACGGCGTGGGGAACTCCGTTCCTGAGGGCCGCCATCGCCCTCTTCCTCTACTAACTGTGTCGGAGAGTTGGCTCCGCGAGGGTCGTCTCCCGCCATTGGGGCCCGCCAAGTGGCATTTGTCCTGCAAAGACACGAGGTCAAAGTGACCCTCACCGAGGGGGTTATCGTCACCCTCGTTGGTTGCCGTTGAGTGAGCGGCCGAGTGATTCATTGGAGGTTACGCTCATGCCTCGGCGGACAGAGTCGCGCTGGTTGTACCATCGGTTGATGGTAGAGGCTGAAACTTTGTGTCCTTATATCTGAAAAAATGAGTTGTCCAACGACCCTCCTCTCATCTAACTATATATAAATGTGTCCCTCTACATACCTATAAATTCGGTACGATGAAGCACAGTATCTCATACCAGTAGTGTCGTAATAAACCGTTGAAGCTTGTGCAGAAGGTTACGTTGAGGCGCGGTAGAGGACCCCGGCGGCCATGTGGAGGCTAAAGATCGGAGAGGGAGGAGGGCCATGGATGCAGACGGTGAGTGACTTCCATGGTCGGCAGGTTTGGGAATTCGACCCGGACGCCGGCACCGACGAGGAGCGCGTCAAGGTGGAGCAGCTTCGCCGGGCGTTCACCGAGAACCGCTTCCGAAGGAGGGAACCGCAGGACCTCCTCATGCGTATGCAGGTGTGTGTGTTTTAAAAAAATGTACGCCACACAAGGGTGCACGTATTACGGATCATAGTTGGTCGATACTGCTGTGTTAGACTGTTGTTGTGCTGGCTGCTTCTGTAGTGTGTGAATATATGATATGATGATGCTTGTAAGCGCATGCAGTTCACTGGACAAAAACATCTGCATGCGGATATGCCCCCGGCCACCACCAAGATAGAGGATGGCGACGAGGTGACGCCAGAAATTTTGCAGGAGTCGCTGAGACGAGCGCTCGGTTGGATGTCTGCTCTCCAAGCTGAAGATGGTCACTGGCCTAGTGATTTCAGTGGGATTATGTACCTGCTGCCGTTCTGGGTTCGTATTAAATCCTGTGTCTCGTCGACGATATTAGCCGTTCACATGCACTTGCTCAGTTGGCTCGCATCCTAGTAGTACATGCATGCTACGACTACGACCTATATTAGCTACCTCTACTTACCTGTCGTAATAACATAACAACGTCTTCTTTTGTTTTACAGATTTTCGCACTGCACATCACAGGATCGGTCGATGCTGTCCTGTCGAAAGAGCATATACGTGAGATATGCCGCCATATCTACAACCATCAGGTACCTAGAACCACTATTTTTGACAAATATTGCTACTCCTATATGTAGTATAATACTACGCACGTCCTGTCCTCCCAACACACCAGCTCACCATGCATATATAACTCTTGTTTTTTCATTCACGACCACACCCAAGCACGTTTTTAACTCACTAAGCATGCATATTGATGCTTAGAACGAGGACGGCGGATGGGGCTTCAATATTTTGGACGAGAGCGCAATGTTTTCCACGTGCTTAAACTACACCACCTTGAGGCTTCTCGGCGAGGTACAAAAGGACGAAAACGATGGACTAGCTAAAGGTCGAGCATGGATCCTATCCCATGGAACTGCAACTGCAGCACCACAGTGGGCAAAGATACTACTCTCGGTATGGCTCACAGGCATAGTAAATAATAACATGCTTTTTATGTTTGTGTTATTCTATGAGTACCTAGGCAGTCCTATCCTATAAACTACGAGACAGTTTCCATACTTGTCAAGCCACACAAAGCCATATTTGTGTCATTTTTAATAGAGATTTTCTTGAAAAGATATTTTTATCCAATCATGTGTTTCCTCTGTCTTATCACCTACCTACTAGCCGGTAAGACTGCGCGAAGTGCGGGAGAAAGTGATTTGTTACGTAACAGGCAATCAAGAGAGAGAAAAAAAGGAAAAAGGGAAAACAAATTATGAACAGTGCTGAAACAGCTACATAACAGGTAATCAAGACCGAGAAAAAACAGGAAGAAAAGAAACGAAAAAAGATTAGAAAAAGAATCTATGGACAGTGTTGAAACAATACTGAATAGTGCGCGCTACAGTAGTAGGCGTTGTGGCTGAGCAGTTTTGGTATACAGAAATAAGGTATATGGTAGCATATATGGTAGATTACATCTCCATCTATCTTGGTTCTTATATAAAATTTTTCAATGAGAGTTTAATTTGCATTTAGTAAGGTGTCACATAACCGTTTTCAACGACGTGACAATGTAAAGAAGAGAGAGAAGAAATGAGTTTTATGAAAATGAAACTCTCTTGGCTCATGTTACCAACTTAAGATGAGTCATAAAATTAAATGTCCATGAAACAAAAGGATGAAACTATGCATTGATAGTGATCGTTTCATCCATGTTTTATTACATTCTATGTTTTCTTGGAAACAACGCTACAAAACTCTCCTAAACCATATCACTATCTCTCCCAAGCACGGCCCAGCAAGGGCCATGTAGCCCGCCGTGCCGAGATCCTGGGCACGGCATGGCCCGCGTGTTCGTGTCGTGCCGGCAAGGCCCAAAGTATTTCGTGTCGTGCCGTGCTTCGGGTCATGCTAAAAGACCATGCCATGACCCGCCCTCAAATGGCACGGCCCAAGTCCCAGCTCTAGTTGACATCTTAACTAATACAATGACTATAGAAACCATCCTAGTTTTCGGTATGAGATTGCAGCACGGTGGTTACGATTATTGATGCATGCTTCCGTGTTTTCTTAACTGAAGGTCATTGGTGTATATGATTGGCGTGGCAATAATCCAGTTGTGCCTGAACTATGGTTGGTACCACGTTTCCTCCCAATTCACCCAGGTATATTCTTTTCTAGCAGTCTAGCAGTCTAGACAACCAAACATTTGCACAGTTCTATAGTATCCCATTGACTACACAAAAATCTGTTTTACTGCTTCAAACAGTCTCTCGTTTTTCGGCCAATTTTTCATCTCTCACCACTGTACAACATAATAGAACAGGATCCTTTCGCTACCTAATAGTAGTTTTTTAAGGGAGCTGCCTATATAGTTGTCCTTTTCATTCTTCATTATATGAGTCTTGATTTGATCGATCTGACATTATGGCGTGATTGATGAAATCGTACCATATTTGCAAACAGTTCACTGCGTGGTGTGAAAGACTAGTGAAAATAGAGCATTTTCCAATAACGGTGGGTCATTCGATCTACAAGCAGAAATATGTTTCTCTAACGGCTTGGTTAAATCAACTTCCGGTGTAAATAGATTTTCACAAGCTTCTTAAGCAACCTCTAAGAAACAATTTCATAAAAACATAACATAAAAATTTGAAACGAAAAGATAGCCGTACCATGAAAGAACTCCACAGTCACATGTTGCGTATCACAAGTCACACAGTTTTCTAGGCGTGTGTGTATTTTCTAGGATTCAAACTCACAAGCTCTCCGTCACAAGCCTTCGATATCATCCCACTATATCTGTTGTTGATAGCAATACAATGTGAGAGTCATCCATTTTGAACATTTGGCGAAAATAATTTTTATCAACGTTTTTTTTTCTAAAGGCAACCACCATAAAAAATCATTTACGAATACGGGTGGCTTAAGCGACCACCTCTAAAAGTTGTTCTAAATGGTGTCTGCAGGGACCAAGATGCCTAGGGGTGAATTAGGCTTTCTAAAATTCTACTCTAAACTATGCCATCTAATTTTTACTTAACAAAACCTACGCGAGAAAGTAATTTATATAGATATGCAATTTAAGGTTGTGCTATGTGTATTGCTATCTCTAACACAATGCAGCCTAGGTTCCAATTCCAATCCTATATCAACTAGCCTAGGAAGCTAGACTAGAATAGTAAGCACACAACCTAGCTACAAAATCGGAAGCTTTTGAGATAGAGATGCAAACTCCCATCGATGACTCCGGTATGTTATCGAGAAGCTCACGCTCCCCCTAGTCCTTGTTGGAGCCCATCCCAAGGTTACCCTCGCAAGGGCCAAGCTCCCAGTTGAGTAACTTTGTGGGTAGCCCCGGGGTCTTCCCCACGTGTAAGTGGGTCTACCATATGCCCTCTCCTAGATCCCTCCCTACTGTCTTCTCCATCGAGCTTCTGGCCAAATTGCGGGCCTCATTCCCTCTAGTACAAGCCGGTGACAGCACCACAAATGCAGTTGGTGTGGTCTTGCAAAACTTCAAGCCCCTCCGAGTACAACAATGGTGCGCACAAGCACAGAATGAGCAAGATGTATGCAAATCTCACAAAACACAGAGCCCAATGTTTTTCTAAGCGGTAAACGGTAGACAGTCGGCGAGGTCTCGTGTAGCGTTTAGACCGTGTACACGGCGTGGATTACTCGTTTTTACTTTATTTGTAAAAATAACTATAATAACCTGTGTATATATTCCTATAACATAGATAATATAGAATTACACAACACCAGTTAGTCCAATAATATAGAATTAAGAACCTAAGTGCTAGACCTAATAGCCTAAGTGCCTAATAAAATACTCCCTCCATCCCAAAATAAGTGCACATCTCGCTTATCGAGGAGTCAAACTCTTTTAAGTTTGACTAAGTATGTAGAAACTAATATTAATATTTGTAAATTCAAATAATTTTATTATGAAAGTATATTTCACAACTAATCTAATGGTACTTATTACACATCATAAACATTGGTAATATTTTGAAAATAATTTATTTTCAAAATATTACCCAGTGTTCGCCTACACGGCCATGTAGACCGATTACACGGCCGTTTTTTACCGTTTACACGGCGATCCCGTGTAACCTACCGTTTATGGCCTAAACTGCACGTTCGGCTACCGAGTAGCGATTACACGCCGAGTAATCGGTGTACACGGCCGTGTAGACGAACACTGACAGGGCCTAAACCCAGATCAAGCGCATAAGCGATGGACTAATTGGTCTAAGCACCTCACAAAGCACTAATGCTAATCACCTAATCTTCTCTTAAGCGCATATGGTGGCTAGATCACTTGAGAGAGTGTCTACACTCCTACTTCATTAGCACACTAGAACCATCACAAATGAGCTCTAGTGTGCTAAAGACACTAGTCGATGGGTAATGCACAACACATTCTGCGCTCGCACTAGAAATTCCGGTGACCCCACCGGAGATTTCCGATGATTGCCACATGTACTAGCAGTTGGATTTGACCGTTGGAACCTACGCCGACTGTTGCCCCTTTCTCTGGTGCAACCTTTTTTGTGCACACCAGATAATTCTGGTGGCACTGTTCTACTGCTTTTGGGTTCCTGTTCTGAGCTTGACCAGGGAAGCCCTTTTATTTGCTGCCTTGCATCGGACATTTCTGGTGATGGAAATTCCTTTCTGGAACCACTCTGGACACGAACGTATCTTCTAGTGTTGTCTCATTGATCCAGCAGTTTTGGTGATGGCGTCTGCACAGTGTTGTCTTTGCAGTCTTTTCTCTGGTGCTCTCTCTCTCTGCTGTTACATCGGACTATTTAGGTGAGTCCTGTCGATTTTGTTTGACTGTTGTTACCACCCTATCTTCCAGCGCTGTTATCTGGTCAGCACAAGAGTTATCCGTTGACTGCAGACAACTTGCAGTGGGCTCCTTTTATTCATGTCTTTGCATGTGGGTTTCTTCTAACTTGTGTCTTGGACTTGTAGCACATCTTGTAGGT